GTGTGATATATTTGTATCTCCTCGATGAGGCTTCAACAGCTCTGCAGAATCCCAGGGCAGGAGAAATCCTGGCGTTTCTCAAGTACAGATAGGCACCTCACTAGACCTGGCCAAAACCTTCTTCCCCCAGCCACACACACTGACTGCTACTTTCTACCCCAAGAGGTACACAAACAATTTATAAAGCATTTTGTAATCCATCAGAATGGAAACAGCTCTTTAACAAGAGCCTACCGATCAGTGATACCTGCAGTGCAGCCCGTGGCATCCAACGCATCCCGAAGCCGTTTCTCTTAAGCAGAGAGAGATTCAGGTTGCGGAAACGACAGCTCCCAGCAGGCCACGCTTCAGCGGGATCCAAAACGCTTAAGCAAAACTGCTCCATCAGGATGGGGCACTGCATGACTACCTGCTGCATCTTCTCAGTAATGTAGGTCACTGCCCACAGGTTAGACACAACTTCCAGCAGAGTTGCAATGCTCTGCTGCATGTGCCAAACGGGAACCGGGCTTTCACAGGGATCACTCCGAAAAGCAGGCGCAGTAAATTGACCACATTCCTTTTTATTACAGTCAAGGGCAAAGGAGAATGCAGTCGACTCAAGGTTATGTTAAAAGTCTACCTCTGCTGGAATCCAGACAAACTGTGTTTTGCAAGGGCTTGTTTGCATAGCAGAGTGACTCACAGTAAACGAGTGTCAATTTTCCCTGCACTTCTATTACAAACCCAGAATGTTCATACACAGAGAAGTTGCTGTACCATAAACTCACTCACCAGTTTATTGCATTGTAATTTCCTTACGTAGACAAGCCCTAGAGCCTTGATGAAAGTAGGTTTACCTTTGTCTGTTATGAATAGCAGACTCGTGAGAAGCTGGACACAGAACAGGGAGAAAGAGCGCAGAATTATGAATGGCTCCACGCTCAATGTATACAGCTCCTATTTGACAAGGGAATACATGTGTCTGAGTATGCAGCTCTTTATAGCTTGGTTTGGCCAGGAGCTAGAGACCAAAAATTTCACCTTGGTCCTTCTGTGAAAGACAAGCACCTAGAGACAGTAAGAAAACACTTGGAAAGAAAGGTATATATGCTCCTCACTAACAGACATTTTTCTGCACATAGTCGCAAGAAGCAGGTTCTGTTTGAAACCTCAAGTCACATTAATGTATGGTCGCCAGAGGCTGCATCTTTCAAGCGGCAGCTGGTCGGAGATTCCCTGGTATAACCACCAATTACATAACAAATTAACCAACTACAATTCGATGGAAATTCAGATTTACCTACTGGTGTGAACAGGATGTAAAGGAAGCAGAATGGGTCACAAATATTCTGAAAAGCTTGCATGTGAGTGCATATTTGCAGGGGCAGGGAAGCAATTCAGTAATAGGACTCAATGAAAAAAAAAAGTTGTTTGTTTCTCCCTTCCATCTGGACTCAAAGTAAGAAATTACGCAGATTTTCACTGTCCAGTCTCCTTTTCCTTCCACACCCTCTTCTCATTGGCACAAGATAAAACCTTGAGGAAACAGCAGCAGCAATTTTCAATTCTCATTATCTAACGGCAGCAGTAGCTCTTGGTGAAACTTGCGGTCAATAAACTACAGGCAATTTTAAAAGACACAATGGGAACTGCCCCTCCCACAGCTGTCCCATTATCCCAGCTTTTATTAGATTTAAAGCCAGCAATTTTTATGCTGTAGCTGAAGTTCTGCAGAGCCGTGAAAACAGACCACCAGAAAAGATAAAACACTCCTAAATTAAAGAGGAGACATTACAGTAACATACTCTAAAGTCGGGGAGCTTCAACATAAGCAAAGCACAGGACGCAGCAAGCAACCCAGAGCCTAAGTGGGCTGACGCTGCTGCAGCGAGCCCATGGCGATGCCACCAAAACTTAACGTTCAGGGCGGTAGAAATGGCAAAGTTAGCGAGCAGGCTACGCAGGGCAAGTTGGAAGCATACTAGCTACAAAGGCGAACAGAGTGGGATCCTGCTCCCATAACTCTACGAACATCGCGCTACAGGCATTAACTTTGGAGTTCGTGGTCTGGATGTGCCTCCAAGAGGCATCCACTCACGTGTGGCTGGCCGTTCAGCTGACCCGTTTCAGGTGACTCATTTAGGATCAGAAGTGCCATGATCTAGCAGTGCCTATTTCCCTCCCTTGGCTACAAAAAAGTCCCGATGGCTAGAAAACATGCAAAGCAGGTAATGTCAGTTATATCCCTACCGTGCACTACAATGAAATAACCTGTTCTGGTAAGAGGGCCCGCACAGAAAATGAGTAGAAAAATTTCAAAACTCATTAAATGATTACCTGATATATTTGTCCATGGGGCAGAAGTAACTGAGGGTGCATCTCAGCTCCCATCTCAGAGATGTGCACAGAAATAGGCAAAGGGAAATGGGTGCCCAAAGGAACAGCCTCAAACCAACACAGTAAGGAGGAAGATGCAAAGAATTATTCTCATCCACTGTAAGCTGTAATTTTCAGTCTAGAAATCTAGAGCTTGCTTCCTCTGAGTCTAATGTATACCATGCCCTGGAGACATTTTTACCAGCCATCAAAAGGAACTTGCAGAGAACCAGATGCTTCATTAAAGAATATTCACCAAGCCTTATAAAATCTTTAGTAAAAAGCAGAAGAACAAATCACCAGCGTACAAGTGAGCTGAAGTCACACATTAAGGTTTGATTACATCCTCCTGTACGGGAAAACAAATGGTGTTTAAAAAAAAAAAAAGGGAAAAAAATGCCCAAGAAATCAAAAGATTCTGGCCTCCCTTTTCCACATTCCTCCAACCTGAATTTCCTGAATGAGGAATGCGTGAGACAAAGCCATTTGGTAGAAGATGCTAAATTAAACTTAAAGAAAAATAACAGCTTAAAAGGGGAAGGGAGGAGGGAGTTTGAATCCTTCATGAAAAAAACACAACAGCTTGTGATTGCTACATATATCTCAGGAGTCAGAGGACTCAGAGCAGTGAGGCAAATTGTCAGGGCTTGAGCTGTCCTGGGACAAAGGAAACTAGAGAAGATGTACTGCCTTACACACGTTTTATTTGAATTTGCACTTGCAGAACCCTCTAGAGCCTATACCTAGCTGCAAGGTTTAGTTACCTATTCCTTAGTCTTTCTCGCCCTTCCTTAAAACATAGCTAGGAGATTTTCTGCCACATTGTTATCATCCACAGCAAATTAATGTCCTATGCACTGCTCCTTCCAGGAAGTTTCTATAACAGTAGGGGAAAAAAAAAAAAAATCTCTGAAGTTCACTGAACACTCTGGGAACCAAGACAACCCCTAGATTTTGGTTTATAAAGAAAACCTACCAAAAAATCCCACCACTACACAAATCCAAAAACCATCCAAGTTAACAGGATCTTTCACTGCCCTCTGCTGTTACCAGTCATTTAGCTTCCAATTTACTCCTTTAATAATGTCGGGCTGGGGCTCAGGGCTGGCAGCATCCCAGCCCCTTTCTCAGGCGGGTTGGAGCCGCAGCTTGCAAATATGCTGAAGTTTAATGCAATCTGTCTTCTTTGGTAATCACATTCCGCCTGCACTGCATGCAATAAAGATGTATTGGTAAATGCATTTGCTAAAGATATACTCCACTGAAAAAGCTACAGGCCTGATTTACAGGAGGCAAGGAAGAAGCATCAGGTAACGGAGGCTGGCAATAGATGCGCCAAATGTCTGCACACAGCAACAGAGGACATGGGTTGTGCAGCAGCAGCACAGGCACCACTTTACTTTAAAGCTGAAAAAGAAACCACACGTTTTGGGAGCTGGGGACTTTAAAGATATCAGAGAAAAGCCCTTTCCCTGGCAGCTTTAACCTTGCTGATTTGCAGACATACAAAGACCTTCTTTGTAAACAGGAAGGAAAAAAATTCCACGAGGACTAGCAACAACATTTGGTCTAATATATCCTGACAATTTTCCCATCTCCTTCTGTCGGGCTTCTTCTGGGAGCCGGCTGGCAGCTTGTTTCATGTTATACTTAAATCAGGCATACAGCTTCCCCTTACAATGCTAATGCGACAGAGAAAGACTGCTTCTATGAAATCTCCACCTCCCCGCTGCCTTTGCAGTAGTAATCCCATGAGAGGAGTCTCAGGTTTCTATTCATAGAAGGCTCCATCCTTTTCCCCAAACCCACCTTACTATAGTCTCAGCACCTCTTGGAGAATTTTCTACCACCACCAAAAAAAAGCTTGCCCTTGAGGGACACCTGACCCACGGAATTCTCTCATGGGGAACAGCATCCTCCAAGACATTCGAGGCAGCAGTTTATGTCTTGCCACTCACTTTTCCCAAAATCATACCCTGGTTGTAATGTCCAAATACTTCATTTTTCCTTTCTCTTTCACTTGTTTCCAGAGTCAGAAATTCATCCAAGGTACTGAGCAGCCACTGTCCTAAGACATCAACAGAAGCTACTAGGGCTCTGCATCTCTGAAGGAAGAGCCATAAGGCTTGCTGGCCCCACACACAAGACAAACAGCTTTTAGGAGTGTGAAGTTTTCTTTAAAGACAGCAGCTTTGCCCGGTAAAGAAGCTTTCCTCAAGCAGCAACAAAAGGAAGCAAGACCTCTAGCTGCTAAGTTCCACAACGGGAGGATGTTTAGAGCCTGTTCAAAATGTTGCCAACACCAGCAAAATGGATTTGCCTACTGTTTGCAGTATACAGCATCCAAGAAGGCAAAGCTTGGAAAAAACATTGTGACTGAAACATAGGACCGTTGGTGCTACTGTTTTGGTGGAAGCCCAGTACAACAGGACCCAATGATGGGAGTGAAGTTGGGACATACCACAGTGTGACTGGGAAATGCGGAATGGATGTGGGAAAACGGATCCCAAGGAAAACCTGTCTCCTGTGAAGACTGCAATTTGACTACTGATACTGCAGCTCCCAGAAACGTTTCCCAGAAAAAAACACCATGCAAAACAAGACAGAAAGGCCAGCAAGTACAACAGGGAAGCTTTTGTTACCTTCTGAGCTGCACTAACGCAGCGCTGATATTCCTTAGCCAGCGCCGAGCATTTGAGCACTTCACGTTTGTTTTCTTGGTAACATTTCAGAATTTCAGACTGCAGGCGTGCACAGACAGGATCAGTGTTCCTCCTCCTGCAAGAAAAACAAGCACAGAAACATGCGTGAAGAGGAGTTTCGCCCACTTACTACCACTTTACCAGTGAGACACATACTAAACTTGTGTTGGAGTCATCTAGTCCTAATAGAGAAACTTATGAGAGTCGCAATCACCAAAGTGGGTCAAATGACCAACAGTGTCTTTCAACTAAAAAATCCAGGGTCCTTGGCAGAAAGGAGGAACATGTTCTTTCTCAGTTGGTGTGGAAGGCTGTTTTACCCCTAGATAGAACATCATCTCTCCTCTGCAGTCAGGAGGGGAAGAAAAAAAAAAAAAAAAAAAAAATCAATTCCAAGAGGTTCAATGATTTCCCCAATTCACATTGGAAATCTTTGGCAGAACTCAGGAATCCTGGCTGGGCCTCCGCTAGATCCTTAACAATCCGACAAGGAACTGAACAGACTCGTTGAATAAGCTGCCTCAATCTATTGAGTTCTCATCTATTTAAACACTTCAAAAAAAATCCAGCATGGCTGGAAGCACTGCAATTCTCCTAGTGACTAGAAAGAACGGAATAATAGCATGACCAGATATCTGTTTCTTTGTATTTCTGAAGCAATTAGTACTCATAGCCTGTAAATGGCATTGACAGCTACCCAAAAACAATTAGGGATGATGTTCTTATACTCTAATGTGCATGTGTACATATGGCACATCATCAGCAACAGTACCAATAAAGGGGAAGGTCGTTGTAAAACAATACCAGCAACAATGGCACAAACACAGTAACGACAGTGTCATCAACTGCACAGACAGGCAGACACAAATTGTAGGAATTTGCAGCACAATTTCCGTGGTATGTTTTACCAGAGAACAAGAGAACATATGCTTAGGTGTAGCAATCCTCAGATGTCACCTCCTAAACCGTAAATCCCTTTAATTCCTTGCATTTTCTGCCCCAATATGCCCAAATATCAAATGCACCTTCCAAAGCAGTTGATGCTACAGACAGGCATTAATGCCATGCTATGATGTATTCACTTCCACATAACAGGCACTCGTTCAGCAACTGGGCTTCATAGCGAGGCAGAGAGAAAACATGACCTGTTCCTGGGCATGTCTCATGCTCTCAGGTGAAACAGATTTCTAAGAAACATGATCCAAGATCTTCTAAAAGCTTTTGGAGAGCTCAGATAGGAGTTTCCAAATCATGCTTGTTTTTGTAAGGTACTCAGGAAGGCAAGTGGAAGGGCCAAAAGGAGAAAAAAAAAAATCTGTCCTTTCTGTATCACTAACCTGGTTGCTCCCTCAAAATAATTTGGCTGAGAGATAGTCCAAATGATACTTCTTCAGTCCTCAGTCTTACTGCCAACAGACATGAACAGACTAAGAAGTTATCAGTAACAATATGACAGCTACACTCAAATGCTGAGGTTTGGATCAGAAATCACCAAAGATACTATACAGGCTTGTTTTTCCACCTCTTCACTAATCTTACAGCCTTTAGAAGAAACTTATTCCATGCATGGTCCCTAGAGGCTAGTGTTCATTTCTAATTTCTACGTTCTATTGCAAATCACCTTTAAAGCCTCTAAAAATCCATATTCTAAAAAAATCTTCAAATTTTGGAATAGAAAAGAACCCAGGGACAGCTTCAGAAACTCATAATGTTGGCATTTTGCTTTGTCACTAACTTTAATATCACTCTAATCAAATCAGCAAGACTGTGGAAACGATACCAAACAATACCGGGTCAGGAAATACCACCAAATCCCTCAATTCATTGAAAAAGTTAAGGCTTTTAAAATTAGGTTTTTTAAACTCAGCCATGTTAAATTGAAGGGCATTTTGTAATTTTCATGCAGAGAGCTGGAAGAGAAAAAAGGTACAGCATGCCACAGAGCAGTCTGTATTCACCTGAACTGAACAATATAGTACAAACATCTCGGAAATATTTAGAAGAATGCTTGAGATGTCTATTGTCGGCATGGAGAGCTACAGGAATTGCACCTCTTTTTTGTCTGTTCCTTCACTGTCCCTCCTATAGCATCAGTCTTCATTGCCTAGAGTAAATATAAAGCTAGGACCCATCTGTGGGCTCAGACAGTAGTGCAAAGTCTGTGGCCCTTTTCTTTAGGACACCCCTTGGTGCTCAGCCCACAGAACAGAGGGCTATAGGGCTATTTAAAAGCCACGCAGCAGTGAGTGAGAAGCCACAGAGCGAGTGCTCCTCCCTAAATCCCACCAGAGGCAAGGGATCAATCAGCACAGAATGGCATGCATTGCCCAGCGAGCACCTAAATCCACATTCATACGTGCCACTTCCCACAACATAGAGAGGATTTATTTGGTACCAGGTACCCAGAATCTTAACAAGAATATTCTCTTTTATTTCATCAAAATAAAACCTCAAATCGTGGTTATGCATCAATTGCAGCAGCTTCTCAAAACAGATTTAGAGGAACTAACCAACATAATGCAGAGTTGGTTAAGGTAATTATCAATACAAATTACACAAACCAATATATTAGTGCATTCACAAGTGAACTGGAGATTCAGCAGAGCCAGTTAAATCCCACTGAGAATGACATTTCACTCTGGAGTGGGAAGCTAGCGCTGCTCAGGAGATAACTGTCACTGTGCCCCACCATGCAGTGTGATCTATGAAACAAAGGGATAAGAAGTAAACATGAACTCACCATAAGGAAGCATATCCTGCAGAGGCCGGGACTACACAAGTCACTCGTGCCCAGCAGACTAATTCTGGTACTCATCTGGACTGAAAAGGGGCACCTGAACTGCTTTGGCGAACAACTGCTTGAGGAGCTTTCCTCCCAGCACACCAGTCACTACTCCTGACGCAAAGGGATGCCACTCTCCTGCTCACGTTAAGTCTCTTAACTTCAGGTTGCAACATTTCCACACACGTGGGAACTACAGCCCTAGACACCAGTTGCACCTTACAGTTGTCTGGCTTTACACATACATATCTGAAAGAAAAAGGAATTAAACACAAAAAAACCTGATGGAGACCAGCAGCATCTAACTACAAACATCTCTGTTGAGAGCAATGGCACACTGACTTCCAGAGGAGGTGGACCTTCGTCAACGATCTCCGTTCAACCTCAGCCCAGCTCAAGGCTGTTGGCACTAATTGACCTTTAGGAAAATTCATCTTCTGGACACTTCACTACACCGCTCTCAGCAAATGTCTCATTGTTTGAGGGGTTATTATTTCTTAAACAATGAGGGGGAAGGAACATGGTGGGGCAGGGATGAGGTTTGAATACATAAAGAGCAGAAGACTAGTACGCTTTGACCTTTCTTCTAAAATGGGTCACAGTTTTAAACATAATATGCCACCACCAAATAAGGTAGACAATTAGCCTCTGTCTAAAATAAAACACATTGCAATTGCTACCACTATTATCAAAACGGATGTAAGAGGCTCATTTATAGCAGCTAGGAAAAAGGCAAGAGAGAAAGGCTGGGCTGAGAGGGGTTAGGACAATACCTGCAGGCATGGAAGTATGGGAGATGAGTTCTGACAATACCTTGGAAATATATGCAGGACATACAGACTATGAAAGATTAAGCCAATAACACACAGTCTCATCTGTTTAAAGGACGAGGAAAGGAGAAAAGATGACAGATGGGAAAAAGGAAAGGATGAATCTAGAAATAAAACTCATCAGCAGTGCCTCCCCTACCACACTGGGGAAGAAACCTTTGCCTCACCACTGTTCAATGGGAAGGAAGGCTACGCACTCATGAAATCCATGATTTCAGATCTTCCTCTCCCCCTCCCACGGAGGGATCTAAACCAGGTCTTTGTCTGGAAAAGAAGGGAGAGGTTTTCTTAAAATGAAACAAAGGGCATCCTTCTCTCTGCTATCCCTTGAGGTAAGACAGAACGAGCATGATCTTGCTGCATTTTGACACACCAAGAGTTACCAAATCTTCTCTATCACTGCGTATTCCCTTTACTTTATTTAATAAATGAAATCTCATCAACTTATCCTTCTTCTATTATCACTGCTGACATCAATCTGATAATATTGGCTTGGCGTGGAATCGTGCTATTATATGTCCTCTTGATATTTAATTTAAGAGAAACGTCTGCAGTGGGGTGAATATGTGAAGCAAGCTTTTTATTACTGGCAGCAGTAAGGACGCTGGGAGTGAATTAGACATTCATCTTAGTCAGGGCCAATCTAGTGGCTCAGAAGAGGTTTTCTTCTTAACCCTCTCCTAACTGTTCAATAGCGGCAGGTAACGGCTGCTCCAGTCAATAATTGCATTCATTTGTCTTGGCAAATTCATTTCTACATGGATATAAACCCCATGAAGAAGTGCTAAGCGTCTGGGAGGTTAAAGCAAGGTTCTTCGAGAATTTCCATCATAAGCTCTGCAATAGTAGGAAGAGTGCTGGTCTAAACGTCCATCGATTAATCACGAAGCAACACAGCTTCCAAAGAAAAACAGAGAAACTTACTGCAAGAAGCAATTAAGGCAGTATCATCAGGATACAGACCCCGTAGCAGAAGGTTTCAAACACAGCACAATGGCTACTAGCTAGTTGCTGCTGACAGGTTCCATTTTTGGAAGAAGAATTATGGACTCAGTATTGGAAAGCAAGGGAAAGCTGGAAGATGTGCATGTATGTGCTAGTCCTTCCACCAAGCTGAAGATTCAGACTAGCCACGCAGAGATACAACTTTAATGCTTTAGGACTTGGCAGCTCTTTAGACTAGTGCAAAATCAGTAACTCCACAGTGAGCACCACACCATCATTTGGATTTACCAGGTAGAGCAGCAATTCCAGATAGAGTTAAGAGCAAGATTGTCTTTTCACCTTTTACTCTAGGAAACTATTCAAGCTAAGAAAAAACTCAAGATAGAGACTAATGGTATCTAAAGCTAGACATTTTGATACCTCTGCTCAGAAAGTGGAAAAAAAACCAGACATGCAGGGTCCCTCATATCAACCAACTTTACAGCAGCTATCTCCAGTACACAGCTGCAAGCAGCGCCC